AAACATACGACACATATCCTATCATGCTTTCTAAACATAATTGACACCCAAACATGCGAATTCCTACCCAATATATCAAGAATAACACCACACGAGTTTCACGATACATCCTAGGGCTCTAATTATATTTAAATCATCAAGAACGCAATTCATCTTTTAAGCAACAATGTGATTTATCAAGAATATCACACAATCATTAGGAATCTAGGTTTATCAAGAATATCACAAAATCATCAAGAATCTCTTTCCATCATCAAGATTATCAAGATTACCCAAGAAATCATAACATCAATTATCAAGATCACACCATTAATATCATAACCGAATCATCAATACACAAGAATTTAGAGGGATGCCTAGAGGGAGATCATAGCTAAGAAAATAGGTTTTGTTGAGACATGGGTTACCTCTTAGCCTTAATTAATTTCCTTGGCTATGAAGGGTCTTTCTCTAAGTCTTCCTTCTTTCTTGATTTCTCCTAGGGGAATTCATGGAGCTCCTTGTGTGGTGAGAGATTATTGTGGTGTGGGTTCAAGGTGCCTCCTATGTCCCCTATTTATATATATCTAAGAGTCCTAATTAGGGCCCAAATACTATAGGCTTGCTAACTCTATTCCTTTTAGGACTAGGGGTTGGGTTTTTAGAGGTGAGGCCCACGGACTATGGTGGGCCTTTTCCTAATTAATTATTGTAATTTAATTCTTTCTTTGGATAATTGGTTAAATGATTAATTGGTTTTAGGGGTCGTAACACGGGGTGCTACATTTTCAAAGTCACAACTTAGGAAAGATGAGGTCGTAACCTTGAACAGAGTCAAATCAAGAGAGGAACAAGAACGAGGTTCGAAAGGATTGAAAGGATTTCCCAACAAAGGGTACTAGATTTAGGCTAAAGAATTGCGTAGGTTAAGGAGGAAATCAAGATTTTCAAGATTACAACTTAGGAACACGAGGTTGTCATCTTGTATAGAATTAAATTAAGAAGGAAACGAGAACGACGCTCGAAGAGATAGGAAAGATTTCTCGGAAAGAGACAATTGGTTTGACAAGAAGATGATAAAAAGATGGCTTATAGAGGGTTAAGGATTCTCGACTTCAGGCTACCTTCGACTCGGACGCGGCTTAACTCTTAGACTTTGCCAGATTTCTTCATAAGCTGATGACACTGCCGCTTTGCACAAGATGGGTCGGAAAGAAAACAAGGACAGGGTTCGAAAAGAAGGATCACTTGGCAAAAAGAGTGATAGGGTTTGTCTAAAGGAAAGAAAGATCAACGAGGGTCAAGGCAACACTCAAACAAGCTAATGCCCGAAGTTAACACGCAGGAAAGGCACAAAGACGAAGGGAGGTGCAACAAAAGGGTACAAAACTCCACGGTTCCCACTTGCATCTGTCTCACAACTGTTGATCTTGCCTTGCCGAGGTTGTTGTTGAGTCCGTTGAAGTCTTCCTCTTAGTCCTGCACTCAAAGGACGGGTGACCTTCCTTGCCACAAGCAAGGCACTCTATTGGCTTACTATGACAGCCAACACCGGGGTGGTCACTTCCACACTTCTTGCAAACAGAGCGCCTTCCCTTAGCCTTGATTGTCCGGATTGACTGGGAGGCCTTACCTCTCTTAAAGCCATCTCTTTGAAAACTTCCTGTTGATTCGACATCGGTAGCCCTCAAACTACTAACCACCGGTGAAACACTTTCGTCAAGCTTCCTCTTACGGTCCTCCCGGATTCCTTTCTGAACTTGCTGAACTCGGTAGGGTCGGTTGCACAAAGGTAGGCCTCTTTGACATGCGCAGGATAGAATCGCTCACGTAACTTAACCTTCAGGTCTTCTCAACTGAACTCCGGATCTTGTCTACAGGCCCTGGCCTTTCAAGCATCCACCACAAGTCCGCTTCTTGCCGAGGTTAGAACGTAGCTAACTGTTCACTGGTGGCTGCTTCTGAAGACTTTGCACGACGTCTCGATGGTGTCATCCTCGACTTCTACAGCAATAGCACGATCACGGGAGGAAACCCAAGGCTCGCACCCTTACCTGGTGCCTTAACTAAAGAGAACCAAAACTAAAAGGAAAACAAAGCACAGACAAGACAACAGAAAACGATAAGAGAACTCACAACCTCACCGCGCAACCTAGAGTCCTAAGCTTAACACTTAGCTTCTTAAGGTCGCTTAGAGGTCTCAAACCACACTTAGCCACTTAGAAAGTATAGACTTAACTCTTCCTAGGCTCAAACCTAGGCTCTGATATCAACTGTAACACCCCCCCCCCCCCCCAAAACAAGCTATAATAAAAGCCTTAACGCATGCAGATAACATAACAAAACACAAGCACAGCGGAAGAAAAGGGATAACTGGATAACATAAAATCTAAACGGGGGTGTTATGCCACGCTTATCAACACGATAAACGCTACGGCCAAATCTGCATGGTTTACATCTATCCAAAAACTCATAAGTCTAAAAACCAAATCGACTCACAGGCCGTACAACAAGGGAAAGATACTACACTATCGGGCACTAGACATCGCGCTCGACTAGACATCACCTGTAAGAACACATAGATAAACATGGGACGACGCCCGATCAGCGAATAATGCTGGTAACCCACCAATACATGTGAAATAACATACATAAGTAAGGTATAAGCTATAAAACCATTTTCGAAACGGAATACATATATATAAGTGTAAAACCAAGAGTCAAAGCCAACATAAGACTCAACACTCTCAACAAATAACACGGGAACACATCCCAAAACCACAAGAACGACACGACTCACAAAAGAGTCAAGGCATGACCTATTATCACTTAATAGATCAAAACCTGACAAGTACAACGCAAAAGAAATAAGACTTACACAACCGGCAACACATGCCAAGGCCACCATGCCTTTGTGACTACACACGTCACAAGAGAAGAACACACAACACCGGCTACAATAGCCCACGTGACATCACCCATCACGAGTTGGTATGCCTGCCTTATGCCCTGTTCCAATTTATGGCTACCCCGAACCTTGTATCTTCATTCCAACCATTACCTCCAGGACCCCTGTACTTCTTAGTCCAACCTTCTTCCTCCTAGGACCATCGTCCCCCCACCAACAAACCACCAACAAAGCCACCAATTCATAGTACACAAGGTACCGTACACACATGGCAACACATGCCCGGATAACACATGTTATCCCCTATAAACACGTGAACCTTACACAAAGGCCACATCTCCATAATCACGCCACGGCCACCACGAGGACCGTTGCAATACCTTGGTGACTAGTGTCCCATACCACTAATCGTGCAATCCAGGTAAAGCCACACGCACCACACCTCAATAGCAATCAATCAACGGATTGCAACGAAGGTATGAAACATACTCAATCAAGGAATGGGTCACAACCCAACAACAACAACGATGAATAACACAAGTTATTATCAACCAAACTGAAGGTACAAACAACACACACATGCTAGCATTTAGACATCAAACTAGCATGCTTATCAACGGGGAAATCAAAGATAGTTTCGAGGAACACACAAGACACTTCACGGTTCAAAGAAACACAATGTTGAACACTTAGCACGATTTAAGACACCAAAGTCCTACATGGATACCTACCATATAGTTCTAGACATACGAAACATCAAGAAGACACTCAAATAGTTCCACAAAAGAACAACGGGAAGTCAAAGGACCAAATACCGAGTCAAAAGAATCACGGGGAACAAATCCCAACACAACGCCACTGTGTTCCCCGCGGGTAGACCCACGGGTAGGCCCCTGCCCGTGGTTCCGCCCGCGGGTACACACCCACGAGGCCAACGTACCTGCGGGTGGGCGGCGGGTAGGGCTCTGCCCGTCGTTCCGCCGGCGGGTACATCCCTGTGTCCAAAATAATCCCTTCGGGGATTTTCAACTCCGTGCTCAAATTCAAGTCCAAAACATACCAAATCTCACCCAATACAACAAAATGACTTGAATCATAGGAAATGCCAAGCAATGGCACAAAAGAACCCTAAACACAAGCTCTAGATATGCATTTTCACAAGACAAATGCATAAACCCTCACATTTCATAGCAAAACACAAGTAGAATCCAAGAAATCACATATAGGTAAGCAAAATAGGTTTTGTAGAGCATGGGTTACCTCTTGTAGACTAAAAGACTTCACTTTACACTTCAACAAGCTCCCCACAAGGCTTACTTTCCAAACCCACTTCAAGAACAAACCAAGAGATCATAAAGATCCTACTTTTAAGAAAAAGACATCTAAGATGGAACCAAAAACACAAGATGGACTTAGATCTTACCCTCCTAGATACCCAAATAGGTGAAAGGTTGAATCTTGGAAGAAAATCTTGAAGTCTTGGCAAGGTCTAATCTTAGCTTGGAGGAAAAGCTACTCACCTTTCTAGAGAGAAGGTAGAGCTAATGTTTTAGAAAGTGTAAAGGGTGAAATGAAGATGTCTTCTACGTTAGGTTACAATACTAACACTTGTGAAAGGTCAAGAATGCCCTTACTAACATTTATAAAGTGTAAGGAACAAGGGAACACCCTTCAATGCTCAAGGCACAACATGACTTTGAAGTTGACTAGTCAAAGTCAAATACTAGTCCTCAAGTATTAAAAATCAGGATTTTAGGAATTAATTCCTCAATTGAAATAGGATTAATTACTCAATTAATCCATGGATTGAACTTGGATTTTTGGGGTGTCACACGATCAGACAGCCCTGACGTTTTTCATCGAGTCCTTGAGAGCAGACGTGCACTATAGCCGATTGCGGGACGAGAATCCCAAAGCATACGCAGAGGCCATCCAGCGGGCCAATCAGCTGGCCGACATGGAGGAAGCGGTGAGACAGAAGCGCAGACAAGAAGTTTCTTCTAAAAGACCCCGGGCGGATAACCCTCACGAGGGAAGAGCGACGGAGGAAGGCGTTACTCGTGTGAGAGCTCGTCGAATCATGGATTGACTAGGAGCTCTTGCCCCCCGGCCGATGGCACAACCTGTCCACGAGGTTCGCGCCCGGTTGCCTCCGCCTCCCCCTATTCGCTCAGGTGATAGGCCCCAAGTGGTAGGGGTTAGCCCCCCACCTTATTGCCGGTACCACCGCACAAGGAATCATTCTCCGAAGGATTGCGAGGGATTAAAGGAAGAAATTGAGGCGCTCATTAAGCATGGCTGGCCATTGCCCTTTAACTGGTGGCGTAGGCCAAGCTCGGTCGGGCAGCAATGGGTGACAGAGCAAAGCGGGGCAAAAACCAACGACAAGGGTAAGCAGCCCATTCAAGAGGAGGACGGAGATCGAAATCGACAGCACAAGTCAGTGATAAACATGATAGTAGTTGGTCCTGAAGGAGGTGACTCTGCGAGAGCCCGGAAGGCACGCGCCCGGCAGCTATACGTGGGTGCGATAGCCTTCCAGGAGCCAGACCGTAAGAAGATATGTAGAGAGCCGATTGTCTTTACGGACGACGACCTACCCAGAGGCCCCACGCCGCATTGGGACGCCTTGGTTATCGCAATAGACATTCAAGGATTGGTCACCCGGTGGGTGCTGGTGGACATGGGTAGCGGCGTCAACGTGTTGTACTGGGAAGCCTTTCAGAAGTTGGGCTTGGCCCGGGAGCAGATGCGACCAGTCAGGACCCCCTTGGCCGGGTTCACCAGTGACGCAGTCAAGGCTGAAGGATGCGTCTCTTTGACCGTCGAGCTGGGCACTTGGCCTCAGATGAGAAGATTGGAAATGAATTTCGTCGCTGTTGCTCTGGAGTGCGTACACAACGTTATCCTCGGTCGACCTGGGATAGAGGATCTAGGAGCCTTGATCTCCATCGAGCAACTGTGTATGATGTTTCGCACACCGACTGGCGTCGGAGTGGTGCGATGCGATCAAAAGACGACTCGTAGTTGCTACCTGCAGGCTTGCTGAAAGGTTGGTCAGAGTCATGATCCTCCAACACTATTGACCACCAAGTGCTTGGCCGACCAGCAGAGCGTTTGACACCGGCAGTCGAGCTGGTGGAAATCATCCTGGAAGCTGAGTATCCCAATAAAGTGGTTCGGATCGGGATTGGCCTGCCTACCTCTGTGAAGCAGGCGGTCACGACAGTCTTAAAGGAATATAAGGAACTATTCGCATGGGAGCCTAAGGACATGCCAAGAGTCGATCGATCAATCATAACTCACAGGTTGGCGGTTGACCCCAACCTCAAACCCATGGCTCAAAAGAGGAGGCATCTGTCAAATGACCGCGGGGAATTTGTAAAGAAAAAAGTGGATGCACTGCTAGCCGCATGGCACATTCGGGAGGTTAAATACCCCTGTTGGCTGGCCAACGTGGTGTTGGTGCCCAAGCCGCCGACGTGAAGAATATGCGTCGACTACACCGACCTCAACAAGGCGTACCCAAAGGATCTGTTCCCTATGCCTCGGATCGACCAGTTAGTCGACGATACAGCTGGTTGCGCCCTGCTCAGCTTCATGGACGCCTTCCGCGAGTATCATCAAATATTCATGCATGAACCGGACAAGGAAAAGACCCCATTCATCACCCTGGACGGGGTGTATTGCTACAAGGTAATGTAATTCGGTCTCAAAAATGCTGGAGCCACCTACACTCGGATGGTGGCCCGTTTGCTCAAAGGGCTGATGGGCGGATCTATGGCTGCCTACGTGGATGACATGCTTGTCAAAAGCAAAGAAGATACGGACCACGTGAAAGACTTGATGGACTGCTTTGAGATCATGAGGAAGTTTAACCTAAGGCTAAATCCCAAGAAGTGCGCGTTTACGGTCCGCGGAGGAAAGTTTCTAGGATATATGGTCACCTGGTGAGGAATCGAACCGAATCCGGTCAAAGTGCGGGCCATCTTGGATATGCAACCACCCAGCAGTCTCAAAGAAATGCAGTGATTGACAGGACGGATGGCTGCCCTTAGCCGATTCTTGTCTAAGTCCACCGATAGGGCAGGACGGGTTCCGGTGAACTGGAGAATGCCAGGCAGCCTTCGAGGACTTTAAGAAATACCTCCTAGCTCCGCCCCTCCTGTCAAAACCCAAGGCGGGAGAAACATTGTTGTTATACCTAGCTGCCTCCCATAAGGCGGTCGGAGCTGTGCTAGTGCGGGAAGAGGAAAAGACTCAATTGCCAGTCTACTACATTGGGCGGACTCTGAAGGGCGCAGAGATAAATTATTCACCTCTCGAGAAAGTATCTTTCGCCCTGGTCACAACAGTCAGGAAGTTGGTACCTTATTTTCAAGCTCATACAGTCCGGGTTCTCGAGAAAGTAGCTTTCGCCCTGGTCACAACGGTCAGGAAGTTGGTACCTTACTGTTGGTCCCGATAGGGTGGTAGAAAGTCTAGAGGCGGGGTGAATAGACTTTCTAAATGTATCCTTCTTGAATCTTCTTTCCTTGGATTTGACTTCTTCCTGTACATTGTCAGTTTGATATTTGCTTACCTTGGGGTATGGACATTCACCTATAAAATGTCCAAGCTTTCTACAATTGTAGCACAAGTATGCATTACCCTCAAGGTTGTTTCTTCTTTGCCTTCTCGACGAGCTTGCATGAGGAATATTTTTGGAGTTGTACTTCCTCATAAATTTCTTGAATTTCTTGACAAAGAAAGCAAAATTTTCGTCATTTAATAATTCAATATTTTCTTCTGACCTTGACGTGGACGGTTGTTCGGCAACTAGTGCGTTGGTTCATTCTTCTCGTTCTTCTTCCGTCCTTGACTTCATCTCAAATTCGTAGGCTTTGAGATCACTAAAGAGTTTCTCGGTTGATAGGGTTTTTAGATCCCAATGATCTCTCATGGTGGTGACTTTCATATCCCAACTTAATGGTAGACCGCTTAGGATTTTGAGCGTTATTTCCTTTTGATTAATGTCTTTTCCAAGATCATTAATCTCTCCCAAGATTTTAGCAAATCTTGTTTCCATGTCGGTATTATTCTCGCCACTTAGCATTTTGAAATCCTCAAATTTCTTTAATGCTATGGTAAGCTTGTTATCCTTCTCTTGTTCGTCTCCTTCGCCTATTTGAATGAGTGTTTCCCAAACTTCCTTCGCCGTCCTGCATTTACGAACTTTAGGAAAAATTGTATCATCAATAGATTTAAACAAAATATCCTTAGCAATACTATCTAAATTATTTCGCGTTCTATCTTCGCGAGTCCACTCCGCCTTAGGCTTTGGAACATATCGTGGAGTATCACTTGTCTATACGAATGCATTGTTCACTTGCAAGATTTCAATTGGACCACTAGTGATTACTTCTCACATTTCATCATGTAGTGCATATAAATGTACCTGCATACGAATTTTCCAATCATCAAATTTTTCTAAGGAAAATAATAAATTTTGGGCAAAAACCATATCTGTCTTCATTTTGAAGTTTTCAAGATCTGTCTATTAGTCAAAATTGACTCAAATAGACAACCGCTCTGATACCAATTGTTGGTCCCGATAGGGTGGTAGAAAGTCTAGAGGGGGGTGAATAGACTTTCTAAACTTTTTCACAATTAATAACACTTTGATAATTTCAACTCCAAGTTACAAATAAATAACAAGATATTTAACTTGGGTGCACAGCAGAATAATTCAACAGTAAAGTGTTACGTAAAATTAGAGAGATATATTACATGCACTACGTTATATATGCTTGAAATAGCTCAAATAATATGTATGCAAATGTTGACTCGCATGCGGACGTGAAAAGTATTAAACCCAGATGAATTTATTTGTGTACGAAATGGGTTAGTCAAAATTCAATATGCAATGTCAATAAATGATTTATGTGGCTATGCATGCATGTACAAGTATGAAGTAGGAAATGCAAATGTTGAATTGTATAAATTATATTAAATATGCAAAACTAAAATGGTGATGTGCATGCATGTATACGTATGGAAATTATAAACCCTGAATAGCAAATATAAAATTGGTTAGTTCATAATAATATATAAGCAGTTAATAAAAGAGAGCAATAAGTAAATGAGAGAGGCAATTTAGAGTGGTTCAGAGGTGGCGTAATCCTCCTACTCCAATTTTCTCCTTTAACGTGTAGAAGAAAATTCCCTATTTTCACACACAGTTACAGTAGTGAATAAGTGCTACACAGACACTTCTTTGAGTGTTTTGCACACAGCTACACCCAACCCCGAGTGTCTCGCACACAGCTACACTCCTCCACGAGTACTTCTCACACAGCTATACTCCTACGCCAACTAAGTGTCTTGCACACAGCTACACTTAGCAACCACGAGTGTTTTACACACAGCTACACTCACGAGTGTCTCACACACAGCTACACTCAACAGGTTAGTGTTTTGCACACAGCTACACTCAACCCTCTTTCTACACATAGTAGAGAAAAGTTTTAGAGAAAACAAATTTCTCTTCTAAGGACTTGAAGATTTCTACGCAGATAGCTCAAGAATAATAAACTGGATATTTAAAATATTGCTCTCTGTATTGTGTATCGCCTCAACTTCAAGTCTTCAATCCTTGCCCGTATTTATAGCCAACAAAGACCATATAACCGTTGTAGCTTCTTCAATCCTAGCCGTCCATCTGGATTGCGATGCTCCTATTTTCAACTTGCTCTGAAGTAATTAAATGCAGCAGCTTTCGGTGGAGAATAGCTTTGTCAGATTTATTTGAAAAACTCCATTTTCTTTTCAAAAGTCTTCGAATGCGGCTAATATCTTCTTCAATAAATCTTCATCTTTTGTCTTGATATATAATAGCTTCTGACAAAATCTTCATGTTGAGATCTTCAAAATAAAATCCAGCAAAAACTCTCTTGCTTGTTCCTTCGATCGAATCCTCTGCTTCTTCTTTCGAAATAAGCAAGGGAAAGGTGATGGAGAAGATGAGAAATGTAGTTCATCCTTTTTTTAAATTGTTTCTTCTTAATAAATGCTTCTGACTCTCTGACTTGCATTATTTAATGCGTCTCCCTGCTCCTTTGCTCATTTTGATGTTGTAGCTACGTGGAGTGTTGCAAAAATCGCGCCTAGGTGCCGATTAATCGGCGCCTAGGCGCTAGGCGGTGGGAGGCCACCTAGACCGCCTAACCGGCCGGTTCGGCATTTTTTTTTTTTTTTTTTTTTTTTTTTGTAGAAAATGTGGAAAATTTTTCGGAAGGCATAACTTTTGACTCGGTTATCTAATTTGGACAATTTTTTTTTCAAATCGCGAAAAAATGCTTCTTTTGCTCTTAATTTTACGAAGGTGGTTTGGTCCACTAATTTCTCAAAAAAATGCTTCTTTTGCTCTTAATTTTAGTTTTTTTTATTTATTTTGATGTTTTAAACAATCTTTTCAACAATTTTACAACCACTTTCGTATATAGTTTCTAAGAAATAACTTTGGAAACCTTACTTTTTATTACTAAATTTTGAAATTTTGAAATTTTTAATTTTATTTTTAATTAAAAAAATTTAAAAAAAAATCGGCGCCTAACGTTTTTTGCAACATTGGCTACGTGTGAATGTGTGATGTAGACAGCATGCATGCACCAGGTGTTATCTCTTCAAAAATGCAATCAGCAAGGTGTTTGTACACTAGACTCAAAATAAAATATGGAGAATTCTAAAAATACAATTTTGGCTCATCAAAACTATATTACAATTATTCCTAACAATTTCCCCCTTTTTGATGATGCCAAAACCTATACTCAGTCATTTTGGCTTAGTCTTTTGAAAAATGAATTTTTAGAAATTATATTTTATTTTGACTAGCCAAGTGATGAGTTCAACATGATTTTGACCTATAAGAATTGTTTTTAGATAAAAAAAATTCCTATAGGCATTATTGAGATTATTTTATTTTAATTCGTTTTGAAATATTTCTCAATTATGCGTTTATACAAACGAAGTCAAAAACAATTCTTGATACCAAAACAAATAACTTATAAC